GGTGGTGGGGGCTGGGGGTGGGTTGGGGAGTAGTGGAGGTTTCTGTTTAATCCGTATTAATTATCACATCAGTGTTTGCTTAAAGGGCAAGGAGGGCCTAAGTCCATAAAATCAAACCGTGACTGATAAGCTAATTATAAAATTGACTTAATTGATATTGAATTATCGGATTAAAGGTTAATGAGTGTGTATTTTCAAAATTTAGATTTTATATATTTTTTATTGTGAATTATAATTACAGAATTATGAGCTTAAGTAAGTCAAAATAATTATTTTGTTTGATTGAATATCTATATAATGGTAGTGAAAGTGAAAAAAGAGAGCATGAAATGAAGGAGCCCGCAAACTGTTAACAACTCCATTCTTATTTATACGTCGTCCTTAATAAGAATAGATGTTCTTTAATACTATTTGTCATTTCACAAATCAATGCATAAATAACACTATTATTTTCGTTTTACCTTGAGAGTTATTAGCATTGAAAGTGTAAATTTAACCCACATATGAAAATTAAATAATTAATTCATGTTCATTGGTTAAATTAATTAATCAAAATAAATTAATTCATTTATTAAAAACATTGACTTCTAGAAAACACTAAATAAGAGTACAATTATAAACTTACTTAGTTTCTTATAGGGCGTGAAACCTAAAACGATAACATATAAATCAACGGTTGGCTTATTGATATGCTAGTAGATTAGTATATTTAAAATTCGATATTCAATAAGTCAAATTGTTAAGCATAATTATCTATCTAATCCGTCTAATAAGCAATCCTACCTCTCAAATGCCATGGGACCCAAAAGAGTAAATACTTATTTATTGATTTAGCGTAATTATCTATTTACGGATAATTAATATTTGAAATAGAATATTTTGTTGATTTTGGATAAGTATTTGTAATTGGAAATTTTTTTTACTCACAATAGTAAAGTTGAAAGTATGGGCATTATCAAAGGGAAATGGGACCTACAATTCATGAAGAATCTAAGACCGTACAATGTCGTCCATCGATTTAGTAGTCGGCAGGATGGACGGCTTAGGAGTGGCAATTGGGTGAGTTGTGTTAAATTTGGACGGATTATAATGGATTAAGATAATAATTGGGTTAAGATTTAATTATATCTAAATTTGCTTGGGTCAAAATGGATTAGATAACGAGGTATATAACGGGTCAAAATCCAACTCAACCCAATTTTTTCTAAGCTTAATTTTTTTATTTGTTCTTTTAAACTATTTTAGTACCTAATAAAATTATTATTTTTCTTTATTATGACTATATATAACATATCAAATTTTAAAAAAAAAAAAAAAAACTTTCGCGAATAGCCACTATAATAAACTTAATTATGTTTCATAGCTAAAGTTTACAAATTTATGGGTTATAACTACAGTTTAAGTTGCCTCAATTGTATAATTCGCATGTTTGTATAATTCGCAGGTACATTTGTATAATTTAGTTATTTTTGTATAAACTCGAAAAAACGAATTTATACAATTACAAACATCAGAAGTGTAAGCAGTTATACAAATTATATTATACAAATTTCGAATTATACAATATTTATACAAATTACATTATACTAATTCCGAATTATGTAAACGTGCGAATTATACAAAACTAAAAAGTTGAGCAGCGTAATTATAGCTAAAAGTAGGTCACGAATTGTAATTAAGGCAAACTATAGCTATGTTAAGTAATTAACTAATACATGTTTGCTTATACGCGTAATTTTTCCAAAAATAATAATAATAATAAGATTTTTCATGAGCCAATTCGGAGTACATATCAACCCAATTTTTAATGGATTAAAATGGGTTGAGTTAATGAATGAGAGGATCAATAATCAACTCAAACTTAACCAGATTGAGCGGGTTGGGTTTGATTTTGCCACTCACCAATACTAGCAAGTAGCAACGAAGAGGGCCAAAACTCCAACTATTGAATTTATTTTCAGATAACTTATAAAAACTTTCACAAGTTTGTGAGTTAAGTACTTAAATTTATAATAGTTTCTAATATTACGAATCTTACTAGATTTTAGACTATGAATATGTGTATTTGACGCATTATAATATTACAAATCTTACTAGATTTTGAATTTCGGATACATGTATCTCGAATACATGAGGTCAAAATTAGACATAATTTGTTCTAAATATACCGTACTCAAATGAATTCACATGTATCTGACTCTCTCGCTCGCCTCTCTTCTATATGACTTGAAATTTGATATTAAATTATTAATTTCAAACTATAGAGCAAATTAGTAAATATAATAGGAATTTTATTGAATTAAATAGTTTTTCCTTTTTAATTTTTTTTTATCTTGTATCTCCTAAAAACCTTATCATTAATATTTAGAGTAGTTTAAAAATACCCTTGCGACTGAGACTAAAATAAATTTATGAATATAGTCAATACTTATAAAATAAAATTTTAGAATATAAACGTAGATTGAAAAATTGCATATGTTTTTGATTAATATCTTTTACATGAATGTTCATATTTAATTATTTTCCTGGATAATCTAAACAAGCAAAATATACCAAAATCTATTGGCATAATCTTTATACAAAGCCTTTTTATATATCTATATTCAACAATAGAGTAAAAATAAATTTAGCCAACTGAAATGAAAAAAAAAAAAAAAGGTTTCTACAAGACATGATACAAAACTGGTCTCAACCAGATGTGAAAAATGTTTACTAAATGTCATACATACATACCAAGATCAAAAGAATTTTAATATAGAGCTTGGTAAAATTGTTGGTTCTTGAAATGACATGACATGAGATGCTGCTATTATATCCACAATACTACTTACAAAACGACGCAGCATCTACGTTGAGGCTCGTTGCTGGAACCTTTTCAATGCAGGAACCAATACTCGCACGTGACAATATTAAACCCGATCCATTGGTGCAGGCACAGACGAAGAGTCCGTTGATGCAGGGACAGATGGTGTAGCTGATGCCATGGCAAACTGTACACCTGTTGGCTGCCCAGATTGTACCACAAATGCAAATTGTGCTGTTGCTAATGCTGCAGCTTCCTGTTTTCACCAAACCATGAAAACAAGCTTTACATTTAATTATATAACGAAAAAACACATATGCGCGTGTTTTAATGTATTCGGCTGATTCACGTGGCAAATGTTGAGGAAAATATTTCGAACAGCAAAACTAACACCAACCTCTCTTTGTCTGCGCTGCTGCAAAATGCTGATGGCCCAGACCATGATGTAGCAAGGTAAAAGAAAGCCAATTAACCGAAGCAAGAAAAGCTGCATACCATACATTTATGGGAGTCATAATTCCAGCAGTAGTAATAAATCATTTTACGAGAAACAGAGAGACGTAGATAGAGCATAACAGATATTAATAATTACCGAGAAGAAAGCAGAGGGATCTTCGTCATCTCCATCTGCATCTGCTACGGGTAATGCATGTCGCAAGAGCAGAAAAGCCATTAACTGCCACAATTGTATGTAGATCATCAGAATTAAGGCAAATTTGCATATATACATGCATATGTGCCTGTGTGTAGACATCAGCTCCAACTCAACCACAAAATAAGGACATATGGTATACATTATCATCTATATCATGGAAATATAAGATACTGTTTCTCTTCATATTTTCTTCACAGCCAATTGAAACGTAGAGGATAAAGAAAATCTTGAGGTAAATGAATAAGGACAGTGGAAGAGGCAACATCTATGTTCCTAGAATTTTCTCTTGTATACCTACAAGATTAGTTAGACAATCTCAAAATTTTGGAAGCATCTACCCACTCCTACAAGGTGAATCCAGCAAGAAGCAATGACAGAAATGCAGTGCTAGAGGCTTAGGGCCAGCGAGGACAGTTACCTTTACGTCTTTCTGTAAGGTCTGTTTGGACATGATTTTTTTCTTTTTTTCCAAAATTATTTTCAAAGCATTGTTTGGTTATATATTGGAATGACTTTTTAGATTATCTCTTTTTCTAACAAATAAAAGAATCTAAAAATAAATATTCAATTGAATTGGTTAGTTTTTGAAGATGAGTTTTTCAAGTAAGAACATTTTCCACTCACAAACTACAATGCTTTTCAAGTGACATGTCCAAACACAATTTCAACTTCCAAATACCATTTTTTACCTTCAAAAATACTTTTTTTCAAGTTTCAACCAAATCTATACCCAAACGTCTACTTAGAATTCTAGATTTCTTCTGGGACAAATAGCAGTAAATGCTTACAATTAGAGCAGCAGAACGGCAGAACGCAACACCACTTGCATTTGTAGCATTATAATCATCATATTCAGCTTCCAAAAGTTGGCGTTCAGCCTCTCTAATTGCCAAAAGGCGAGGATCATGTAATTCCAGAGGTGTGCCAGCAATTTGCCATCCTCCCCTGCACAACAATGAAGCAACCCAAAGAGCCAATGAACTGTGAAGAAATGTTGAATCTTGTGACCAACGCCACTTAACTAATATTTGGAAAAAGAAGATCTGTGGGTAATAATATGACACAATGGATTGCACACATTATTGTCAAAGGCAAAGCACATTTGGAACCTCAACTTTAACTGCCATTAGAATGAGCTTGCCCAAGAAAAAGTTGCTTTTATGTACTAATACACACACACACATGAACACACAGACATGTATATGTACGGACAAATAACAATTATATCAACAGAGGAATAGGAAATCTTTTGACTAGTGGAAAAAAAAAAGGAAAGTAAAAGGCGAAAGGCAGGTCAATCAAGTTCATAAACCACCCCAAATATGCAGATGCAGATTCAATCAGTAGTTTCCTTATACCAATTTTCTGTTCCTAAATACGAGCATAGTCATCTGTAGGATCCTCCTCCTTAATGCCCTTATGACTCTCATTGGTATCACATATTACATATTTTTTTCTTTTTGTATTGTTCTCTTAACAATTACTATATTGATTTAATCGTTATACTTATTGTCTAGAGTTTCCCTCTTCAAGATACCATCTATGACTCTCCCAAAGTAACCGAATTAAGAAGAATAACTGTTGGTTGGTTGGAATTGTCTAAAGTGAATGCCTCACCACCTTGGTGCCTCAGTAGAGCACACATATCCTAGCAGAGAGTTTGATATGTGCCAATTAATAAATAAGTCGTTAGTTCGGTTAGTGGTCATGTTAGTCGCACGTGTTAGTTGTTAGTCGGTTAACACTGTAGCCAAGTTAGTTATAACCAACTATGGGAGTCTGCTTTTACTTCACGTGTATAAATAGGAGATCAACCCCAATTGTAAAGGTATCGAATTGTAAAAGATCAATAAACAGTTCTCTCTCTTTCTCTTCTCAATTCCTCTGTTCTACAGAACCAGCTGTTCAAGAGCAATTAGTTAATTTGCTCTTTAGGCTTAGTTCGATTTCTTGTACGCATCAGAGTTCAGCCGGTGTTGTGAGCTACTCAAGCATGCCTTTAACAATGCTACTGAAAAGCTACTTGAAAAAGAAAAATTTAAGACATATCTAACAAAGGAAACCTGCACTAAAGAAAGTTAAACTCACCCAATATCTATAATTGTATCCTCCGACCGAGCTCGAGGAGGGGCAGTGTAACCAGGCTGGTATTGCTGCATTTGAGAATGAAAATGGAAACGTATTATATAAATAAAGCAGAAGGCAAATAGAATATGCTAGAATTCAAAAGCATCGCTCAATCCCAAGTTCTCCAAAAAGACAGATAGATAGCCAAAACATTGTCTGATAAAACAAAGCCTTTATTTTTATCCACAATAAAGCAATTCTACTGAATCTTGTCTATCCATGCATATGTAATACATCAAATTATAGTTATAATGTTGATAGAAACATAAAACATTTCCAATACTAAAATTCTAGTGCCATCTGAAGTACTTTGCCAAGAAACATCCTCATTGACATGTATGCTCATATCACAAAAATGAAACATATATAAATTGACTACCATGATTCAGTTCCATGTGCTATAAAGTAAAAAGGATCCATTTTTTCCATAACAGATGAAAGAGACAGACAGCTTCACAAACAAGAAAATATAATATTGCACTTTTTGTTGGAGGATGGTTTTTTCCTTTTTGACATGAGATGAGAACTTGCTTATTTAATAGAGAAGTCCTCTTACCAGTCTCACAGCATGCAAGATACGGTGCAAAACAACACACAGACATACCTGATGGCAAATCTCACAAGTAATGTCACCCTTCTCGTTGCACCAGTGTTGAACACACTTTCGATGTGCATACTGCAGGTCAATTGTTTCCACTAAAACCATCAGTACTTATACAAATTTACTGTTCCAACTAAAAGAAAAAAGCAAATTGAAGAAAGAAAGTGAGGTAAACTGTAAACAGGATGTAGAGCAAAACCTCTTGAAATACAACTATAGAGATCACATAATTTATCAGTAAAATAAAATAAGAACAGAAACACCAAGTGTTGTGCAACTATATAGGGGCAATATTCGGAAGGCGTAGATAAGATATCGGACAACCAGCATTCACATATACTTAGGATGATGATATATACAAAGAAAATAGAACGTCATAAGGATAGCAAAAAGTGTCAAAGCAACTTGAAGGAGTATATAATTATGTAGTGTCATAAGAATTTCTCAGGTGAGTAAGTGTGATGATGACATCACCAGATATCATAATATGAGGCAAAGTTCATGTCTTGGTTCAAAAAATGTTGATGATCACAACCTAAGGGAACAATCTTGCTTAATGGGCTTCAGATAATAGCCTAAGAAAGGATTAGATCACCAATGAGGCAACATGGAGACATAAACAAACAACGGTAAAGTCACCATCATGCAGGGAATAATCATTTTCCTGATAGCAGGCAGACAAAGGAAGTCGGAGGGTTAACAATTGATTGTTGACATGTCCAGGAGAAAGATCTTAATGCAACAAACATTAAAACTGACTTCTACGGCAAAATTTTGTGGAAGTCAAGATATGATCAAATTAGGGGGAAAATATATCAACTAACTTTGAATGGTCAAAGAGATTCTGGTGAACATGTCAGAGGGATTTTCTCTTCATGTACACTAAGCATCAGAGCCAAAGTTTGCACGATGTTTGACAAGGGAAAGGTCAAATTCACTGACTACGCACAATACATGGTACAAGTTTTCCTCTGTTATCAAAATTCAGGAGTATATATTACAAGAGGACAAGGTTGTATCCTTTTCCATGAATAAGACGACAATTAACTTCCACTTATCTCAAGTGTCTATAATTAAGAAGTGTAAATATTCGGATACAACCTAGTACAATTTGAGAACATAAATATTTTTAATTTTGGAGCAAATATGGAACTCTGACTATGTTAGCTTCTGAAAATACAACTGATCTCAAGCTATAAAGGAGTATAGTAGTGGTCGGCTATTAAAGGTCAGCCTAATCATTGTATTATTATGATGATCCATTTAAACACTAGATGAGCAAAATCAATTTAGAGGATTCATATAATGGACACTAACTATTACGACATTAACGCATGGTTGATTGATTTAGATCAGACACGAACAATAAGGAAAAGGAAGCTACCTTATAAGCTCACAAAACCCCTAAAATGTAAGATGTGTGTGTTAAAGTTGTCCCACATCAATTGCGGGATGTAGAATTTGGTGTCATGTTCTTGGGAAATCCTCATCTCATGAGCTAGCTTTTGAGGTTAAGTTAAATTCAAAGTCCCTTTCTTTACATGGTATCAGAGTCAAACTCATCTCAATTCTTGGTTTATCCAATGTTGTCCCCCCTATATCATGTTTTGCCTAGGCATGATTGTGGGATAAGAAATTGGTCACCTTACCTCATGAAATTGCCTTCAGGATTGAGTTAGGTCCAAAATCTATTTCGCAAATATCAAATTTGCTAACAACAAAGATAAAAAAAAGTAAGCTGAAAACAGAAAATTTCACCTTGAGACTTCCACAACAAGCACAAGGACTCTCCAAATTATTCAAAGTATCTTCATCTTGACAAATACGGCACTCTGCACCCCCAATTAACGGCACCTCCTCATTCCCTTCTTCTTCTTCCTCAACAGCCAATTCCTTTTCCTTCATCGTCTTCGAAGAAGAAGCTCCGGTTCCTTCCACTACTTCGGTTGCCTTCTTCCCATTTTCAATCGGTTCCCCTGATGATGATGCATCTGCGTTCCCAACCCGGACCCGGTCCTCATCTTTCACCACCAAATGCTCACCCATTTTTATACCCAAACCGCAATATCCCTATATCAAAAAACTCACAATTTCAATCAAATTCAGATAAATTAAACTAAAAATTTCAAAAAAAATTTGAATACAAACCTAAGAAATTCACCGCCCAAGCCGAGAAACTCAGCAAGAACAGAGAATTTCTGAGCATTCGGATAGAGAGAAAATTCAAAGTCAAATGCGAATGAAAAAAAATATATTTTACAAAAAATGAACAAATAAGAGTACAGTGTATAATAGACCTGAAAAATCAGAAAAAAATGATGATTGTGTAATCAGGAGACGAAAATTTAGCGAATTTGTAGCAAAACCAATCAAAATTTGATGGAACCGTTGAAATTTCTTTGAAATTATACAAACCGAACACTGATTTGACCGCGTTTACTCTTTTGTTTGTATTTTTCTTATTGTCCAATTAGAGACTCGGTGGCCGGATTCTAACATTCAAGCACGACTAATTCATTAGTGATTCGGGTTTGACTCAATATGAATATTAGATATCGAATCAACAAATTATTCATTACTATTTTTTGGACATGCACATTGCACTTTTACCATATTGATGAGTAAAAAAAGTTTCAAATATTATCTCAACGAAATATTTTAATTTAATTAGGGTCCTATTATATTCGAACTCATTTTTTTTGTATTTTCGTGCATTTTTTGTGCTGACGTGGCACCTTCAACTAGGTAAGTGGATTGCTTTTGTAGAACACGCATCTGTCATGTGTGTAAATTATTTTTTATTATTATTTTTAAAATATTCTTATTTTTTTATCTTGTATTTGAATTAAGTTAATACACATAAAAAAAAAATAAAAAAAATATTGCTTTGTATTTTTAATCATCACTTGTTGAAATAATGCATAAGTACCCCTAAATTATAACCAAAATTCTAGCGACACACCTTAACTTAACTAGAGTAATATTAACCCCCCTAAACTATTTTAAAATGTGATCTATAATTATTTCATGATTGCATTCGATGATAAGTTACAAAAGAATGAAGTTGCAGGAGAATAAAATGGTTTCAAAGAGAAGAAGGTTTAGAAGATGCATGGAGTCTAATTAATTATATATAATTAATTAAGTAAATTAATTAAGTAATGTAGAATTAAAAGAAGACACTTGTACATGTTAATTACTGTTAAGTTAAAGGTGTGTCGCTGAAATTTCGGTCATACTTTAGGAGGTATTTATGCATTACCCCAATAAAAAAAGAAATAAAAATAATTAAATATATATAAATTTTAATGTCAACAATTGAGTGTATTAACTAATTGTAAATAAAAAGGCATGTATCCAATTTTTCCGGTCTTCACTTGCCTTCAAGAGAGAGTGCACATTCTTTATGCACGACAACTTTTAGGGGTGTCTTTATTTCATTTTAAATACTTGAGGGGAGGGGGAGTAATAAGACCCTAGTTAAGTTTAGGTATGTCGTTGGAGTTCCAGTCATAGTATAAGGGGGTTCTCATGCATTATCCCAATTATTGTTATAAGTTATTCTTTCTAATTGTAACGACCTATTCCGTCTTTACTGAAAATATATGCGGTAAAGGTATACACATCTCATTCGTCATAGGTTTAGGATCAATTTCTTGGTATGCGAGAGTATTAGTTATGAATTAAGGTCTTACAATGCCCTTATCACAAAGTTAAGTTGAAAGTGTCCTTACCGATTAAGTTTCGAGCTTAAGTTTAAACTTCAACTTCAAACAACCATATCTCTCAACCTATAATGAAGTAAGTGTCCCATAACCTATCGAATTAAAGGTCTGTGATTCTTCCTTCCAACGCCACCAAGTTTGCATCATTTGGAGTCCAGAGTAAAAAATTGTGACTATTTTATCAGAGATTGTCCATGTTGAAAAACTGAGGCTACTAAAATGGAAATTAGGCAGCCACAGCGGGCTACACGCTAAATGCAATTTTCAGACCTAAAATATTATTTTACTCCCAAAATGCGTTCAAGGTCAGGCTAGAGTAAAATAGGGGTGATTTCTTCAGTTTTCCAATGATTTTCTCTTTCAAGATAAGTCCTTCCATCAATCTAACACTCGTTTGATTCTTTAATCCTTAGAATAACATTAGATTTACATGGTGGGGATTGAAAGTTAACCTAGGTAGGATTTTCTGGTGTAAAGGTAATTAATAGGTTGAAAATCTCTTGAATTTGAGTTAGTGTTGATAGACTATGTCCTTAGGACTGGAAATTGATCTAACCATTTCAAAATATAGAGTTTTTGAGTAGATTAGAGCGTAGAACTAGTGGATTTGAATTCCAAAGTATTTGTTGGAAGAGTAGTTTATTAATCATTCTTATAATTGTTATTATTAGATGATTTAGCCTTCGAAAACGTGACGAAGAAGGAAGATCATCAGCATTATAACTTACTTGTTGCAGTAGTTTGGCGTCCAGGTAGGCTAGGTTTCTTTTTTGGTAATAGACTATGAAATATTACCATACCACCAAAACAAAGTCAAGTACAAGTAAAAAGCACCCATAGACTCAACCCCCTTTTAGAGAAGAAAGTTAAGTCTAGTGAACCTCAAGAGCAAAGCCTAATTACATAAACACTGAATCAAGTATTCACTCTTCCTACCGTCGAGTATCTAAACATATGTAATCTCTCCTTAATTATATTTTGCACATGTTGTATCATAAACTCTCTATTTACACTTTGTCCTCAAAAAATCTTCTGATTCATGACAATCCAAATGTTATAAACAGTAGCTCTATAGGCTGGGTTTTCTTGACTAAGTAGTTTAGACATGTTTTCAATTGTATGATAATTTATAGATTGACTGAAGGTTGCATGCATAAACCTTTGTGTACGGAGCCTGGATGGTTAAATGTTGTTTATTGTTGTTAAGGCAAGAAAAATTAATGACTAGGGGGTGGTTCTCTAGTTTTTGATTGTTAACCTTGATTTTTCCGTTGAGGTGGTTTGGTGGTAGCTATAAGGTTAAGTGTTATGAAATTGTTGGGTTATAGTCATTTATGGGACTTGTGGTAATCAAGGGGAACTCATTTGTACTCATGGTTCAGTGTTGGACCATTGATATATTGGTATGATTTGTGTTGTCCAATATATGTATGCATGCATGTTTACTACTTATTGGAATCACTTGTGTAATGCATGTTGGGGAATACATAGGGAAGCATATGAAATGACTTTATGTTGATAATTTTATGCAATGAACTTATTTATGTGATTTGAGGTTTCAATATTATTGTTCATTATGTTTGTGATTGTACACGATTGTTTGTGATAGCTAGTTACCACGTCGATACAGGAATACTAACGGTTGACTCGGATACTACACCTAATATGAATACTAATGATTGAATCGGATACCAGGTCTGGTATAGGATATCAACATCGTAGCACGCTGGTACACAAATAATAGTGGCTCGGGTATAATACCGGTAGTAACAATTTGGGAGTGGGTTCCATGGGAGAACCGGATTTTATGTTGGTTCCTTGAGTGTACCGATTTACTTTTTCATAGTATGATTGTTGCATATGGATCCATGAGTGGTTGGGATTTGTGTTTAAATGTTCTGGTGGTTCTTATGTAGACTAGGTTTGCATGTTAAACACTGTGAATGTTGTTTTAGGGATTCTTGATGGTTCGGGTTACTTGAAAGGTGTGTTAAATCAGGTATGACTTATTGTGCTGATGTTATTCATGATTATTGTGCATATCAAATTCAAGGTGAGGACTGAGAGTCTAGGATATGTTATACTTGTGATTATAATTGTATGTTATCTGTTTTGCTAAGTTGTGAATATTAGGTTGGGCTGATGATTGGGGGTCTGGTGCATAGTTTAAGTGTTGGGACTGGCTATAATTTTTCAGTGTTTAATTAGAGCATATATGATAATGAGGATGTGAGTTACGATGGATTAGTTGGTCTAGGGCACCAATTTCAAGTACTTGGGGGTGTGCATCAGTCGGATCTGATTCAATTTTATGTATTATCAGTTCGATTTATCGATTTTTGATTTTGAAATACGCTAAACCAATAATCAAACAATGTCTATAGCATTAGTGGTTTGAGTTCGAGTCTTCCTGGTATAGAGTTATTATCGTTAGGGGGCATTTTATCTCCCAATGTGAAACTTTTTACGTGAATGCGAATTTAATCGAATTTCAATAGGAATAATGAACATCGAATGAAAAATAAATAAATAAATTCATTAATGATTTTTTGGACATGCACATTGCACTTACCATATTGAAGAGTAAAAACAATTTACAATATTATTAAAAACTATTGTTATAAGTTATTCTTTCAAGTCCATATTAAGTGAATTTGTGAGGTAATGCGTATTCATTAAAAAAATAGAACATAAATTAAATATCACTTTTTCATTTTTGTCCTTTTAATTATTCTTAAACTATTCTTAAAAATTAAAATAATTCAAAGCAAAGTCATAAATATAAACAATTAACTCTCTTGAGCTCATTACCTATACAAAATAAATGAAGAGCAAAAAAGAGAAAAAAAATTCAAACATTTATCTTAAATTTTAAACAATTCACATATTTTAAATAATGAAAAAAACCTCAAAAATTCAATTGAAATAAAATAGAGAGAGTATAAAAGTAAAAATACATAAAGTTTCCCCAAAACTTGTACTTTATTAAGTCAATGAGTAAACAAGTTTCAGATATTGTTAAAAGTTGTTGTTGCAAGTTTTATAGAATAAAAGGGAAAGAAAATGCATACTATGTTTATGATAATATCCATCAACTATTTAAAATTGACCAAATATATCCTTCAATTATTTTTGAGTGCAAACTTATCCCTCCCGTTTACTTATTGGATCACTTATACTCTTCCTTTTATTAGGATTTTATCCTGATTTTCTTATCATATTTGAATTTTACTTTTCTCTTGAAGGAAAGTTAAAGTATTACCATAATTGCTTTTACTTTTCTAGAAAGGAAAGTATAATTTTCTTTCATATTTGGATTATTTCTTCCTTGGAAGAAAATTTTGAAACTCTATAAATTGATGACACATCTTCTCATACCAGACACAACAATAACATTTACAATGTAGTCATTAGAGAGTTTTGTTTAGGAGGAAATTTTTTCTCAATAGTTTCAATATTTTCGATTATATTATTTTTTATATGTAAGCCAATTGGTCAAATCATATAAAAATATTATATTTTTTAGTATAGTTTTTTGTCATTTGATTTATCGCCAACATGATTTGCAATTATAAGTCTCTGCATGACGCACTAGTTCGTTTTGAATCCAACACGTGGTACCATAGTCAATGGTCTAGGTTCATGGAGGTTGAAGACAGGTTCAAAGCGGTTTCAAATCAATTTACAACTAATTTTATGATAAAGAATATTTTTGTTCAGCTACATGTGGAGAACAAATTTAAA